CTATCTTGTTTTGAAAGTCCCTTGTGCTGGAGGACTCTAAACTTTCGCAGCACCCTTGTTTGAGATATCTCCCTTGCCATCGACTGCCTTGTGCGAGTGGGTTTGTCTAATCGATTCCGGGTCGATTATTCCCTTGTTTTGTCTTGTTTTGCCACTGACGGTTTACCGCGTGGGTTTTGTAAGTCCAGAATGTCATTCCTTGTATTACGTAGATGCTATTAACATCCAAAGTAAGTAAGTAAGTTTTGTAAGATCAAGTTTGATGAACTAGATTCATCTCATGTTTTGTACAAGCTATGATATGTATGTTTTCCAAAGATCTCGGGTGTCATTCATTTAACCCCTTTATTACTTGTACCATTCACTGAGTATCCAAGCTCACCCTCCCTATGTATATATGTAGGTAACAAGCAAGAAGTCGGCTACGCCGAGATGTGTGTTTTGTATGCATGTTATGTCAGCAGTGAGGATGTCGGCAATTTTGAAGCTTATGTATTTTGAACATGTCGGCTTGAGAAGCCTTTTATCAAGATGTAATATGTATTTTTGTACTTCATTTTATTTGTATTCAAGTTGTAAAGCTATGTAAAGTTGTATGCCATTCCATTTGACTTATGCACTGCTCTTATGGACTAATTAGATTTGTATATTTTGCCTCCGCACTTGTGAGCCCCATATATTTATACTCTGATTGTGTGTGAACTTTGTAAGTGGCCTTCGGTAATCTCGTATTACTGGCCATCACGGCACCATCCTACTAGGGGCGGTTTGGGGTCATCACAATGGATTGAGGTGATAATATTACCATCTGTTGTAATCCATTGTTTCTGAATATTTTCTAAAACATTTATTTGAGAATTCTGGATATGACCATTTTCCATAAACCATAACGGAAAAGGTTGAAGATTTTGCTGTTCTTCTAAGAATGTATAATACTGGATTTTGAATTCCTGTAATTGTTCTGGAGTATAGTTTGCAAAATACCATTTTCTGAATTCTGCATATTTATTCTGGTAAAAATCCTGATTTAGGATTTTTCTGTTTTTACTGCCTGGACTAAAATCCATTAAACTTCAAAATTCATGTCACTGGCAGTAGGACTATAAGGTCCTTTGCTACTGGATTCCCTAGGTTCATAAACACCATGTGGAATTTTATTTGCTGAAAAGCGTAATCCTTGAACTACTGGATCCATAGGATCTAATTGGTCAGGATTACTTGGTGGCCTAGAGGGCATACCTTGTATGACTGACTCTAAAGGCTCAGCTGTGGAATGTCTGGATGATTCTGGAAAATCTACCCTATAGGCTTCTCTAAAGGAAGGAGTAGATCTAATACTGG